GGGGTGCTCAGTGGCCGCTCAGTTCCGCTGACTGGACGCGGCTCTGGCCGCTTCCCTTGGAGCGTCTCCAGGGAGGGAACGCTGGGGCTGCTGGCCCGGCTGTGCTGTCACTGCCAGGGGAACGCTGGGGCTGCTGGCCCGGCTGTGCTGTCACTGCCAGGGGAACGCTGGGGCTGCTGGCCCGGCTGTGCTGGCACTGCCAGGGGAACGCTGGGGCTGCCCCGCTCCTGCCCCACCCCATCAGCTCTGCCAGCGCCTCCAGGGGACACAAAGGCTGAGCCAAAGGGTGAGAGTTGCACAAGGGGCTGAGCTGGCATCTGGGACCCATTGGGATCATGGAGTGCAGCCCCCGGCCCTGCACAGACACCCCAACAATCGCAGCCTGTGCATCCCTGGCAGCGCTGGCCAAAGGCTCCTGGAGCTGCGGCAGCCTCGGGGCCGTGCCCATTCCCTGGGGAGCCTGGGCACTGCCCCAGCCCCCTGGGGGGGAAGAAGCTTTTGCTCATCTCCAGCCCAGCCCTGCCCTGGCCCAGCTCCAGCCGTTCCCTCGGCTCCTGTCCCTGCTCACCTGGGCAGAGATCAGAGCTTGCCCAGAGAAGCTGTGGCTGCCCCTGGATCCCTGGAAGTGTCCAAGGCCAGGTTGGATGGGGCTTGGAGCAGCCTGGGATAGTGGAAGGTGTCCCTGCCATGGCAGGGGGTGGAATGAGATGAACTTTAAGGTCTCTTCCAAGCCAAGGCATTCTGTGATTCTGTGATTTTGGGGGAGATGCTGAAGCTCTGGCTCAGCTTTATCTCAGCAAATGTCTGGAGCCAGCAGCAGCCATGGGTGGGATCATCTCCTCCTCCCTCTCGCTGTGGCTGTAACTCACCCAAGGGCAGTGTCATAAATGAAATTGAAATTTGGACAGCTAGGGCTATTGAGTTAACAGCAGTTTAATAACAAGAAAAAAATGATACAATTTAGTGAATTGAATACAAGAATCCAATTTAATAAAAGAATACAATTTAGTGGATTGAATAGCAATTTGATATAGAAGGAATACAATTTAGTAAAAGAGTACAATTTAGTGAATATATTCATATATATATATATACACTATGTATATATATGTATGAATATATATATGAATATAGCTTGCCAGTAATTATGATTAAAGCATAAGCAAAACTGACTGGGGTACGGAGAGGGCTTCTCAAGCCCCTTACATATGAAATAAAGCAATTCAAACTAAACTTATATACTGTATACTTATACATATTCATTCATGTTTCCAGTAAGTCTCATCTTATTTCTGATTCTTTAATTTTACATCACTATTCTTCATGGTGCATGCTTCACTTGTTGCTAGGGGGTCTTCAGTCTTCTTTTGGTGGTCTTTTGGACGAAGGCTTACACTCATCCTCGTTGTCCTCTGGATAACCTTACAGGCTGTGTGTGCGTCCTAAGCGTTGTGTTATGTAAGTAAGCATTGTGCTCCACTAATTAGTCTTATATTTTATAATTTTCAGGCCCTATGCCTAAAGTCATTCCAACTTTATCCATCTCAAGGTTGATTTTGTCTTAGGACATTTCTTATCTCAAAACTACATCCTGTATCTTAATTTTAACATGTAACATCTGTAGAGGGGTACATCTGCCTTGTAACACCAATTCCCTTGATTGCTCCTAATAATAACTTTCCAAATAGTTACAATTTAGTTAGCACAAATCATTTCCATTTATTACAGGAGGGTGTGAAAACAGGAGCATTGTTTGGTGTGGCCTCCTCTCTGCCTTTCACACCTTTCAGTGCTTTGAGCCAGCCAAGAGCTTTCTCCAGGAGTGCAATGAAGCAGCTGTTGCTGCTCCCAGCTCTGGCTCTTCCCAGTCTCTGCCCCTGCCTGGTTTTGTCCCTCTTGCTGTGCCCTCTGTTCCCCCAGGGGGCTGCCCCAGGCTGAGGGATCAGATGCAGGCACTGCTGCTGCTCCCTGGGGACCAGCCCCAGTTTGGTTGTTGCTGTCAGTGCCAGCAGAAGCGGTGGCTGGAGCAGCGGGTGCTGACAGTGGCCCAAGGCCCGGGGCTGGAGGGGTCCCTGGGCTGGGGCTGGGAGGGAGCTGCCCCTTGTTCTCCCTCTGCCTCCCACAGAGCTGGGCCGGGCACAAGTGGGGCAGCAGAGCCAACAGGGAGCCTGCGAGTCTCTTGCAGCCGTGCCTGCTCAGAGTTTGGCCTTGGAGCTTCAGGTGGGCAAAGGCAGCTGCTCTGCTCCCTCTGCGTGTGCCCGTGTTCAGCAGTGCTGCTCCATCAGTCTGTGCCCAGCAACGGGGAAAAGCCTCAGCCCTGCAGGGCCAGGAGCTGCCGGGCTCTGCCTGAGCAGCTCAGCCAGCGGGAAGGGAGCTGCTCCACACGGGAACCAGGAGCAAAGGACGTGCCTTTTCTAGGACATGTTTTCTGTAAAAAAAAACCACAAAACATAATAACAAAAACAAAAAACAAAAAACAAAACAAAAAAGAAAACATAAAAAAGAAATGAAAGATAAAAATTACCCCCAAATGTGTAGTGAAAAATCTTCTATAACTCTGGAGTAAGAAAGAGGTAACTGATCTTTTGAAAAAGAGAACTCAGCTTTGATTTTAGTTCCTTAGTTTGTACACGTGCTAGTGGAAAGGATCCATTAGCTGCCTTCCTTTACAGATTTGATGGATGTTTTCCAATATTAAGATATTTTACACTGCAGTTAAAGGAATAGGAAATTGAAATACATGTTCTTCATGACTGTGTCTTGAGTGTAAAAATTTTGCAGTTTGAAACTTGGACCTAAAGTGTTGCAAATGGAAGTGATAAATCCCAATGGACTGAGGGAATGCAGCTTTTCCTATGGGATGTGCAGCACTCCAAGGACTTCCTCAGTGGGGCTGTGGCTGCTTGGAGCTTTGTCCTGTGCCACTCTGGGATGTCATGAAATGGGACTTCACCTGCCACCAGCCCAGGTCACGCTCTGCCACCCCAGCTCCTTGGACCTTGTGTCCCCAAAGAAGACACAAGGTGTTTCTGCTGCTCCCCCTTTGCACAGATCCACAGAGAGCTGGGATTATCCCAAGTCTCGTGTCTCCATTGTGCCATATTCCTAAAGAACCAGCAGCCCATCCCAACGAATATGGTGAGTTATGTGGATGGTTGTCAGCTCCCTTTCCTGCCTAGAAATCCTGAAACTGCTTCTAAATGCTGTTCCCTTCAGCTCTTGGACACCTACTGACACAGAGCTGGGAAAAAAATGCCCTGGCCATGGCTTACAAGGTGAGTTCTGCCAAAGTTAGAGCTCTGTGGGAAATCTCTATCCATCCCTATCCTTTTAATATATCTGTATGTGGGGGTGTGCATGGATGTGTCTTGTATGGAAAGGAAGGAGTGTGCAAACAACGTGACTGACACTTTCACTCTCTGTGTTCATTCCATACTCATGGGTACAAAGATATTATGGAAACCTTTGCAAGGACAGACCTTCTGTCCATGGAAAGAGACATCCAAGAGCCCCTGGCACAGACAGACCCTTCTGTCCATGGATACAGAGACATCCAAGAGCCCCTGGCACAGACAGACATTGCTGCTCTTCAGCCAGTGACAGGATGAGTCCCTGAGACTGGGGCTTGGCCTTCCTCGTGGTGAGGGGCATCAAGGAAGGCTGCAGTGTGATGGAGACTGTGATGGGCTGGGAACTCACTGGGGGAAAGGAGGGAGCAGTTGTGAAGTAAAAGGCAGGTGTGGGGACAGAACTGTTCAGAGAAGGGCTGAGCTACAGCTTGAGCAAGCTGAAAAATGTCATTTGGGGTCATCCCAGATGGATTTCATTTCAGAAGTTATGGAACAAGTTTAATTTTTGGGGGGTGTCATGTTTTCCCTTGGAGGTGGACACTCTGCAGACTTGAGCTGCATTGCCAAAATGCTCAAGTCTCTGCTGCAGGTCACAGCGTTTCTTCTTTGGCTGATCCCGGCCCGGTGCTGAGCCCAGCAGAGCCCTGGCAGAGCCCAGAGCAGCCTCAGCATCCGCAGAGCCCGGCTGCAAGGAGAGAAAGCAGAAACCGCCCGTCAGCTGAAGGCTCCTGTCCCCTTGTCCCAGCCAGCCGCGGTGCCCAGGCCATGCTGGCCGTGCTCAGAGCTGGGCCCAAAGCTGCCCATCACTGCTGCCTTGGGGAGCAGAGCAGGAGGGCAGGACATGTGCCCAGCCTGCAGCCAGCCACGGCAGATCCAGCCCCTCAGCAGCTGCCCAGAGCGGGATGCTCCTGTGCCCGCTGCCATCTCCCAAAAGCTCTTGTCCCAGCCATGCCAAGGAGATGAGGACCCACCTC